TGTTGAAAAGACAACCACATTATGAAGATGATTAAAAGATAAAAGCGACATATATACTGTATAGTAACATCTTAAGTTAGCTAGCTAATGTTAGCAAAATGGTAGTTAGCTAACTAATTTACATCAATGGTTAGTTAGCTAGTAATAAATAAGTCCTTACTTCAAAATAAAAGTAAACTCGTGTTTCTACAGTTAAATGCTTTTAATGTGAAGCTGCAGCAGTAGGAAATGTTTGTTTTTTATTAGTAATAACTTATACTGCATTATTTACGGGAATAAAAGTATCCAGGGTGCAGCTGTAGAGTGTGCGTGCTGCAACATGACAACTCCCTAAAAGTGAAACCATAACATCTTGATCCCCCTTGGTGGCTGGCTGCTTTCAGTGAGCACAGAGAAACTTTCCACTTTCAGCATCCTTCTACTGTCAAACTCTGCACATACAGCATTCAAACAGCACACTGTAGGGACAGGAAGAAACACTGATTTCTGACTGGAGGGGAGCTTAAACTACAACTTGGGTCTTTTGGGTATTTTCCTGTACCTTCTTTTGGCGTCATGAGAACCTGTCTGATCATCTGACTGCTGTCTCTCTTGCCCCGTTCAGTAATCATTAAAACTCTTATTGCAGGTGTTACGTTGCAACAGCATCTCCAGCCAAGTTTCAAGCAGCAGTGCAGAGAGCTGGCCTGACCTTTGACCTTCCTGAGGCGGTGCTGGCATTGGACAAGTTGGCCAGCCGTTACCAGAACCTGGAGCGGAGCCTGAACTGGTGCAAAGACTGGGAGGACAGACTGAGAGAGAAAATCCAGTCTGTGAGTTCAGTCAGGGATAACAGAGGGACTTACTACGTCTGAGTATGAAAGATGTTATTGTTCTGTAAAATATTCAGAGATCCTGATTAGACATTAAAGTACGGGCGAGGTCAGGTGACTGTAGCAGACTGTCCTTGATCTGTGCACTTCCTTATCTGAATGTAGTAAATTAAATTGATGGGAAAGGCCTCCTGTTGCCTCTTTGACGGACTTTGGTCTGTAGTGTCATATGACTTGTCTTTGTATTTGTACAGTGATGTCATATACCATAAACCAATCAGCTGTCTTCCTTCCACAACTTTAACACAAATGTGAATTAAATCAAGTAATTTTCTATGAGTGTAACTGTCTCAAAAACAATAAAAAGTTTAAAATGAGTTTAATTTGAATTGTCTCAGCATAATTATGCCACATTCCATCACAAAAGTTTCTATAACTGACCTTTCAACACAACTCAACTCAACTTTACGTATTTAGCACCTTTCATACAAACAAACAAACATGCAGCGCAAAGTGTTTCACAGAGCAGGATTAAAACAGACAAAAAATGCAAACAAAAGCAGCAGAAAATGGACATACTCCGCATTGTACTTAAGTACAGTACTTCATTAGTTTCCACTGCTGCTTATCCTGCTATGACATATCAAAATGTGTGCTGTGACTAATGTCTATTGTGTATAAGTGACTATGTAGACTATACCGTAACATGCAGTGATAACAATGCAAAGCAATGTCAGTGTGTGAGGACGTGATTTGAACACATTTGGACTTTTACAATGCTGACACTGATATTGACTACAATTATCTGCAGGTAGGCACAATCCTCTGATCCAACTACCACTTGAGACTGGACGGTTTTGGTGTCAGTTGTGTATTTACCTTACCTCACTATTGTATGATACATTCAAGGTCTAGGGTTCTTCATTTCACTTTTGACAGGTTTCTGCCTTGGGGTGGCGCCACAGCTCACATAGGCTCTTCAGATAATCACATCAGACTACAGGTTGCACTGGTTGTGGTGACTTGATGAACCTGATCCCAGTGCAGCACCATGTCCGAGATGCATGCAATTGATTTCGCAGTGTTTAACTGAGAATAATTGCAACACTTTAGTTTGATAAATGAACTGAACTTTAAAGACTGGAGGGCTGCTTTAACTGTAATGTTTAGGTATTTTGTCTCAGTACAAAAAAGTGTTAGTTAAATAAGTAAAGTAAATAAATAAATGAATAAAAAATAAAATAAATACATATACATATAATGAAAAGGTTCAATAAAAAGTGCAATAGATTTTATGAGTTGAAACAGACACGTATAGAGAACGTCCTGAGAAGAACATCTGTCCCAACTACTGCCCATGGATCCCAAAATAAAGAGTTTTTTCCGAGGCGCCTTGAATGTAGCACGAAATTTGACAGCTAGACAGCCAAACATGGCGGCTGCAAGCTAAAGCGACTAGTCAACACATTCGTCTTTTATATCATTGTCAGCGGTTAGTAAATAATCAGAACCGGGTGTAGACTCACGGAAAGAGGCTTTGAATTACGGTCGCCTGTTTTGGGCCTTTTTAGGTTTTTATCCAGCCGTTGTCCCGGTATGTGAGGGCTTTATGTGAGTGGACGCCACACCGGAGTGAAGTGACACAACAACAGTGGGCAGAGGGCGGACTGTTTCTGCGGGGTTTCCTCACCTCTCTGCCGATATGTCTCTCAGGTAAGATGTGGTTCATGTGGACATTTCTGTTTGTTTCAGCGTTGTTGCATTTACGCCCGAGTGACTGTAAGCTGACACGTCACTCTTGGCAGAATTTAAATGGCATTCAAATATAGGAAATGAGGAGACAGTGTCCAGTTGTTGTGATAAAAGGCATCAACGAGATAGGTGTCCTCCTCTAGTTCTCACATTAGCCCGCTCAGAAACCCATAATACAGAGCTTACATTCGCTCATTTTCTAAACTGTGCTCTCATACTAATTTTACTCTGTGCTTTTAACAAAAAGTCAGCCAGCTTAAGTTCCTTGTCACTATCTCTATCTATTA